TAAATGAAGGGAGAAGGGAAATCGATAATGATTAAAACAACAACAGAAGAAATAAACCGACATGAATGAATTGCACGTGGCATCATTGGTTTTGTCCACATATAATAATTTATAACAAAGATAACTCAGCGTTTAAAAAAACGTTTTTTCCACTCAACTGAACACATAGAACACAAAAAAAAATATATACTAAATACGCACATGTACCAACTCTCAGTTCACTTTTACTTTGGACGATTTTCCGGCGACCTATAAGCCTACCTGTCTCACTCTTCCGGCCTCGCCAGCCGCGCGCTGCCTGGCTCGCGAGCGCGTCGGTCTCCATCCGTTCGGTTGAACCGGGCTGCTGGGGCCGCGGCGCTTAATATAAGGTACGACCGGCTGCGGACAATCTGATCACCGGCGCCGAGGAGCCCCTACAGGAGGCGGGACCAGCGTGGACTGAGACCCCCCGTGTAAAATACCATAGATTTAGGAGTCCCCTCGTGGCCCCGTTAGCTTAAACATTCTAGATTAGCCGCACCGCTTATAAGCCGCAGCGTCGAAAAATGGGAAAAAAGGCGCGGCTTATAGTCCGAAAATTACGGTACATGTGTATTTATATATATTCTTTTTTTGTGTCCTATGTGTTCAGTTGGAATGTTTGAAAACGTTTTTTTAAAGCTAGTAATTTGTTATTAAATTATTATATGTATAAAAGGAGTGGAAAAACACAACTGAGTTCTTAAATCGGTTTATTTTTTTATATTTGACTTCATATCAAATTTCCCTTCCCCATATCGCGCAGCTCTTATTGAATAAGTATCATAAAAAGATAGATAGAAAGTTTATCATGCTTTATTTAGGAATCCTCAACATTTTAGCGTTCAGATGAAGAGGAAGCATCCCGCTGATGGTTTGATAAGTGCATTGACAAACAAGCTTAATTCAACCTAGCATTGAGGGAGAGAAACACTGGTAAGACACACAGAATCATTTGCAGTTGTGTTTTAATCGTGTGTGGGGATTGATCCATCTAGAGAACCTTTAGGACACACGGTTGTTCCAAGGCTCAAAGTTGTGACCTCTTTGTTACAGCGGAGTGAGATAACCAGCACCTGCCTTTCTGCATATTTATGAATGAATGTCAACGGGTGACTGTAGAGGTTTTCCCTCTATAGAGGAACCCGTCCTTCCTCTGGTCTTCCTCCTCACCCCGTAATGAGTTCAGGTTAAAAGGTTGACACGTCGTTCTTCTTCTTCTTCCTCCATCTTCTTCCCCATCTAAAGGGTAAACCACATCTCAATGCACGGCAGGCTTTGTCTCTGCCTTCCCGTCTGAATTATTTACAGTTTCTCTATGGCGGCGGGATGTTTAAAAAATTGAAATATTGATGAAGGTGAGAAGACGAGCGCCCGGGGGCAGGCGGGAAGATGAATCAGAAGTTATCGTAGTTTCTCACCCAGCCTCTCTCGCTGTCTCTCGCTGTCTACCGCTGTCTCTCGCTGTCTACCGCTCACCCTCTCCCGCCTTCAGCTGTGCCAAAGTATGACATTTCTTATCTTCCCATTAGCGGGTTGATCTCTGGTTCCTCCTCTTCCTCTTTCATCTGTAATGCTGCTGTTAGCCGCCACATAGAACTCTCCGGTACTCCTGACTAGTCCTGCATTTTTAGACTTTTTTTTACTTTCAAAATGTCTGTTTTTCAGCACTGATAAAATGACTTTATATGCAATATTTATATTAATATAATATAATTAGAGATGATCCGATCACGTGATCGGGGATCGGAGCTGATCACGTGATTTTCAAAAGATCGGAATCGGGAGGAAAAAAATCGGGGATCGGGATTTTTATTTTTTTTTTTTTTTAAATATATAAATACTTTTTTTTAAATTTTGTATTCAATGTTAAAAAACAAAATGACCATGTTCAAGTCTTAAAGTCATCCTGA